TGGGGGTCAGGTCCAGGCGAGACCTCGGGACTCGCCGAGGCTCCGCTTCCTCCGTAACCGGGGATGTGCGTGTGTGACGTTGGGGCCCCGGCACTCACCGTCTTTCATTCCTGTTTTGCCCTCGCATACACGTTACCTCTTCTCCTGCTCACTCCCTTTTCCTTAAGAGGATCGCTTTGCCAACCAGAATTAATTGCCTACACAGTAAGTGGTTTTGTCTTATTTTTTTTTAAATGTAGCTTTGCTGTGAGAAAAGCATATCCTGTAACATAGCGGGGATCGATCCCCTCCCCTTCTTTTTCCCCCTGTCCCTTACTAGCTTTACTCCCCGGGGTGCTAGATACCCCATGTTCCTCCTGAAAAGTGCCCCCTTCGTCTCAGCCGGTCTGGGGAGGGCATGTCTGTGTTACCTGCTGGTACAGAACCACCTGGCTGTGACATGCATGCAGACCGGTCCCTGCCTGTCCTCCCAGGTCTAAGGAGTAGTTACTGTGATAACCGCACCGGCCGTGGGTCAGCCTGTAGCCTCTCTGGGCAGCAGGTACAGTCCATAGGCTGCTGTTGCTCATCGTTTTCCTGCCTGTCAGGTTTGAAGACAAATTCTTCAATGAGCTATTTATGTCTGTTAGACTCTGTGGAAGCAACGGAATAAATTTATTCAAGCTATAATTTTGAATAATTTCTTAAATTCCTTCACATGCTATTTTATTCTTCAGTAGTTTTGTGATTTTTTTTTTTTTTTTTAACTTTGCTAGAACCAGGGAAAGATTTTTTTCTTTCTTCCTGTTCCCCATTTAAGATTTTGGTTATTTGCCTCAAATTTCACATGACCTGTCTCCCAGCTTTACCCTAAGGAATCCTGAAGGTTCTTGCCCGTTGGTGTGAGAAGGTGGCCTGGAATAAAGGAGATAGGTTTCTGAAGCCCAGACGCCTCCTCTTCACGGGGACCTTCCTATCAGCTAAAGGGACAGACTCCGTGGGCCGAGTCGGGTGTGCCATACAGACTGTTCGTTATTGCCAGCCGGGGCTCTCCGAGCACCGCAGCCAGCAGGCTCCGTATTTCAAGGAGCTGGCTCCGCGGCTCCGGGGGCTGGCGGTCGGACACCCACGCAGGCAGCAGCTGACCATGCGGCCTTAAGGCAGAATTTCTTCTCTAGGAAACCCTGGGTGTTGCTCTTCAGGCATCGCGTTGATTGGGTGAAGCCCATCCATGGAACCAGGGTCATCTCCTTCAGTTCAGGCCACCTGGGTGCAGATGTCCACCACGCCCACCAGGTGCCGTCACAGCAACACTGAGGCCGGGTTTGATGGGTCACCGGCGCCCGGGCCAAGTAGACACAGAAAACTGACCTCAGTGTCGTTAGTCAAGGCAGCTCCATTTAGTATCCTCCCCCCCCGCCCCCCATGAGGGAGCGCGCTTGCCTGTCTGTGCCAGAAGCCAAGGTCCCACCGTGGAGTGGTCGAGTCCTTGGCAATTGTGATGTGGTGGCCAAGTTTAAACAGATTTTTTCTATTGAGAAACATGATGGGATGGCCTCTGTTTATGCTCATGATTCTTCCTGTTTAGTGAGTTAAACTGCGGGCCCCGGAGAAGGGCTGGCCTCACTAGAACACCCTCCCCCACCCAGGCCACCAGCATGCCTCTCAGAGATTTACATCATTCCAGAAAGCCTGTCCGAGCCCGTGCGGGGTGCAGGCCGTGCTCTGTGACACCCTCCGATGGTTGCAGTCCACCTGGCCCTCCGCAGGCTTTTCCCCGGGTGTTAATTCTCCAAAGTCTGCAGACAGGGCCGGGGTAGAAGAGAAAACCGATGCTCCTCACCCCCAACCCTTTGAATAGACAGGGTGGATATTATTTATTATTTACTTGTTTACNTTTTCCCCGGGTGTTAATTCTCCAAAGTCTGCAGACAGGGCCGGGGTAGAAGAGAAAACCGATGCTCCTCACCCCCAACCCTTTGAATAGACAGGGTGGATATTATTTATTATTTACTTATTTACTTAAAAATATATTTTTATTGATTTCAGAGAGAGGAAGGGAGAGGGAGAGAGAGAGAGAGAAACATCAATGATGAGAGAGAGTCACTGAGCAGCTGCCTCCTGCAGCCCCCTGCGGGGATCAAGCCCTCAACCCGGGCATGTGCCCTGACCGGGAATTGAACCGAGATCTCCGGGTTCATAAGTCAATGCTCAACCACTGAGCCATGCTGGCCGGGCATGGTGGGCATTTTTGTGAGTCGTAGCTGTTGAAGAATTTGTCAGATCTACCAGGAAAAGAATGAGTTGCCAAATTAGCTATTCAGCTCCCTCTGTGATCTGCAGGTCTGTCTTCTTCCAAAGTCGCTAACACCTGTGTGCAAGTCGTAATGAACTTCACAGCTCGCTGACCTTGCTGGGCCTTGGTAAACGGGATGTTAAACTGACTTGTGCAAGTGTAAGATTAGCGTGTTCTGTCGCTGTGTTAGCTCGCATTTGATCTTTAAGGAATCCTTGCTGTTGAAATTGTTACTGCTCTACTTTTTTTTTTTGCATCCCACAGTCCACTCCCCGACATTATATACAGATTGGTCGAGTCATACGAAACTGAGGTTGGCAGGTTCAAAACGACCAAATAACAGATATGTCATGTGACTTCACCTGATAAAGAGTTATAAAAAAATTTTACTTCCCCCAAAAATAAACATTTAACTTTCCTGAGAAAGTGAATACCATTGTTCTCAGGATCCTTAATTTGGCTTTAATAGCATGACCATCCTTTTGGGGGCACCTCTTCTTTGCCATTTACAGCCTTCCTAATAAAGGGGGCTGGGGGGCTGCGGGGACCCCAGGGGCCAAGGCGAGGACAGCCTGCCGCCATCCGGCTTGAGTAGAGCCAGTGATATAAATACCTGCCTGGAATGGATGCCGAGGATAGCCCAGCTCACCCTTTTCTGCTTTGCTAACACTTTGCGTTTCGCCCGGGTGTGCGTGAGCC